AGTTAACAACAGGCTAGCATGAGCTAATCAACATGTTTGACTTTTTGTATTAGTAGTATTTATCACACATTTGCATACAAATAATTTCTGTTGTGGGTATAAAAAACTAAACTAAACTAAAAACAAATAATGATTTCATTATTTTTGGCCAATCTTCAAAGAGCCACTGCAGAAGGACCAAAGAGCCACATGCGGCCCCAGAGCCGCAGGTTGCAGACCCCTGATCTAACACATCATCAGATCAGACCATAAGATAGTGACCTGCAGCATTTTTACTCATTCCAGCTCAGGTGAACTGCTGCTATATTGGGGTTGTCTGCTCTGAGTCACATAAACATCTAAATAAATGTAAAATACAAATATTTTAAAAAGTATTCATCAATCTGTAGCTTCAAGAATTCAAACCCCCTCCCTCGTGCCGAGCAGGTTTCATAAAAAAGCCGAGCTGCTCTGGTTTTCTGCCTGCACAGACTCGTTCCAAACTGGATCAGGTGTTTACACGTCAAACCGGTTTGCTTTGGTTTTATTTGAAAAACTGATGAAGACCCTGAATCAGCAACCCTGCTCACATTCCTGCAGGTTTAAATGGAAGCACTCTGCAGGAGCTCATTATTATTATTATTATTATTATTATTACATGTTCATTAAGAGTTCTGATGGAAGCAGGTGCAGAACTGAAATCTGCTTCCCTGCAGAATCTGACCCTCATTTTGGCACTTTTTTTATTTTTAAATAAAAAGTAAAACAAGAAACATGAAAAACATTCAGCTGTGTTCTTCTCTTCTGGTCAAACTCAGAAGGTTTCATTGGCTGATAAACTGACGAGTTTCTGTTGAGCAGACATGGATCAGGATAACATTTTATGCCTTAATCTGTCCGAAATGTAACAATATGTGATGCAAAGTTCATCTTCTCTGTTCCATTTTCAGCTGCAGAAATCAGCAAATTTTTCTAAAARCGTGTTCACACGTGACCTGTGGCCAGAATGCTCTAAAACCATCATCATGTCGGTCGTAATAAAACGTGAGTTTGAACGGAAACAGACCCAGATAAGGACCTGAGCCTGCACTTTTTTTTAATTTTAGTTCTGAGGGGTCGTTTTAAAAAGGAACAGTTAAACAGGATGAAATTCTTCAACAGATTCAGGATGTCAGAGGCAGGCGAAGGCTTCGAACCACGGCTTACAGGCACACATCTGAGAGTAAAATCCAGATTAGCTCCTCAGAATATCTGCATGAAGCGAAGCGACGTGATGCAAACACGACGGTTTATTATGTGGTCGCTAACAGGAAGTGTTTGTGAGCAGGTGTGCAGCGTCAGAACTCCGTCAGCCCACAAGGCTGCTCCCGCCACATCGTGTGCATGTTTGTGTGCTTCTCACAAACACACAAACATGTGTGTGTGTGTGTGTGTGTGTGTGTGTGTGTGTGTGTGTGTGTGTGTGTGTGTGTGAGCAGATTTACTCAGCGTATAGTTAAGTCCGGTCAGGACCTGTCTGAAAAGATGCTCGAAATGAAAATTGTTCATTTAGTTTTTTTTTCACTCCGGTTTCCTGCTCACCACTGAGGATGACAGTTCGCAGCCAACGGGGCGAAGAAGGAAGCGACGCTGTGGCCTGATTTACCTAATAAGGTTTGTGTGAGTCAGCCGAGAGCGCTAATAGGATGAAGGAGAGGAGAAAACGACACAAATGAAACAAATTCATAATGGTGCAAATGTCTGCAAAGCTAAAATGAAAGTTTCGTGCTGACGAGGTTTTAAAACATATTTAGAGCAGTTTGGTYTGAGCAGGCTGCCGTACCCATTTGGTTTCACCGCATCCTCAGACGTTTCCTCTTTGACCCGGAAACGGTGACCAGAATTAGAACTTTGAGCAAAACTACGGACATGTAAACCTGAAAATCTAAATAAATAATAAACACAAAGAAAACTGAACATGTTTTTTTTAACTTAAACTTTTTTTTGTTCCTTTGAACTCATCCAGCTGCTGCACACAACAGCAGCTGGATGCAAAAACTCTGCAGACAGATGATCCACTTTTTAAAGCTCCAGTTCCTTTTCCTGTTCTCGCTCTGTAACGAGTTTCTCAACCATTACAACTAAAGACAAACTGAATCAGCATATTGATAGAAATTCGGCTGCTGTTTTCAGAAAAGGAGACAAATTAGAATTTTTTGAACTGAAGCTGCAGTTTTTGTTTTAAAACTTTTGTTTCTGAGACCCCTTGTAAGGATGAAAACTTACCAGGGACTCCCTCATAAACCCCAAGTTTTAAAAATAATTTACTGWCATTTTAACCYCTAAATGCCATGGGAATATTATTTTTATTTGGTTTAGTGGGTTTGTTTAAGTGTATTGTTCCTCATATGCATTTTTTAAAATAAAAATCAAATTAACGATTTAGTGAAAATTATGAGGACACCCAAAATATGGCTCAAAATATGGTCCTGGGACCCCAGTGTGTGTGTG